TCCGATTAGATCGAATTATCATGCTATGCTGTACAATCTAACGAAAGTAAAACAATATAAGAAGACATACAGAGTAGAAAGCAGCAAGTAAAGACATTGAAGTAGCCGAATACAGATGAAAAACAAAAAATTTAATATGAAAAGAAATGTATGTCGTTGGAATCACAAAATATAGTATATAATTGTAGTTTATAGAGTATTCAAGAATAAAATAAACAGCTAATTTCTTTTTTATTATTTTCTTTCACTCGGAATATAATATGTGATCGATAAACAATGCGTAACTGTATAATCATATAGTTCTTCTTTTCTTTTGTATACATAATTTATTCTTATTGAACAAAATAAAGTTATTATTCGAATAATATTATAAGAATCAAAAGCATAGGTTCCAATTTGATATTATAAAAGAAAATAACAAAAGAAATTTTTCATATTATTGAATGTTACACAGTTGACACTAGTAATTGTGGCAACTCGATATATCCTTCAAAAAGAGTTACAATAAAAATTAATGTGTCGATTTCTTACTTCAATATTCATGATTTATTATCTACTTAACACTATCAAAAATTTAACATACTGCTAAAACATTATTCATCTTTTCTTTTGTAACACGAAATTTTACCCTATTACTTATGCATTATCAAGATATCTTTTTTTTTTCATAAGAGATTTTCTTTTGACTCTGTACTTTGATTTTGTCCTTCATATTCTCTTGTCTCATAACCACTGTAATAAAACAACAAGGTAAGTATGCACACAAAAAAAGTAACTAACATGATGTAACTGATAAAGTTAGAAGATATTATGTTGATGTAAAAAAAAAAACAAAATCATCATTCATATTCATCAATTTTTTTAAGACAGTATGATTTTTAATTTATTAAATAATTTTAGATGGCACCATCAAATATTTCTATGAAAAAACTACGAATGGGTATGATTGGTGGTGGTCCAGATGCATTTATTGGTGCTGTTCATCGTACAGCTGCATGTCTTGATGGTGAAATTGAATTAGTTTGTGGTGTTTTCAGTTCTGATCCTAAAAAATCACATGATATGGGTAAACAACTTGGTCTTCCAATGAATCGTGTTTATGATTCATATAAAGAAATGATAGAAAACGAACAAAAAATACAAGGTAAAATTTGCTTTTTTTTAAATAGATTATTAAAAACAAAGAATTTCTATGTTATAATTATTTTAGAAATGGATTTCGTAGCAATTGTTACACCTAATCATGTTCATTATGAACCTGCTGTACTTGCACTTCGTGCTGGTTTTGATGTTGTACTTGATAAACCAATGTGTTTCTCACTTGACGAAGCTCAAGAACTTTCACGAATTGTTAATGAAACCGGTCGTACTCTATGTTTAACACATACATATACAGGTTATCCTATGATTAAACAAGCACGTCAAATGATTGAACGTAATGATATAGGTTTAATTCGTAAAGTATATGTTGAATATCCACAAGGTTGGTTAAGTCATGCGAATGTTAATTCTAAACAAGCAAAATGGCGTCTTGATCCTAAACAAAGTGGTCCATCAGGATGTTTAGGTGATATTGGTGTACATGCTTTTAATTTAGCTGAATATATTACTGGACTTCAAGTTACTCATGTATGTGCAGATTTACAAACGATCATAGAAGGACGTCAACTTGATGATGATGCTAGTGTATTTTTACGTTTTAACAATGGAGCAAATGGTGTTTTGATGGCTTCACAGGTAAATTTTTTTTGTTTATGAAATACTTTAATAAAGTTATTATATATATTTTAGGTTTGTTCAGGTGAAGAAAATAATTTAAAAATTCGTGTTTATGGTGAAGATGGTTCAATTGAATGGCAACATGCAAATTGTAATACACTTGTTGTTCGACGGTTAGATAGTCCAGCGGAAATTTATCGTACTGGTACAGAATATCTTTCAACAAGTGCAATTCATAATACACGAATACCAGCTGGTCATCCTGAAGGTTATATTGAAGCATTTGCTAATATTTATCGTAATTTTGGACGAACAATTCGTGCTAAAAAGAATGTTGAAACAAATCTATCTGAAGAATGGAGAGATTTTCCTAGTGTTAAAGAAGGAGTTCGTGGTATGGCTTTTATTGAAACTTGTGTAGCTAATAGTAAAAATGATAATGAAAAATGGACTGAATTAAAAGAATAAAATAAAATATTCAATGTCATAAGACTATAACTATTCTTTTTGAAATAAAAAAAAAAAAAAATAATTAACAACAAATCATCAGCATTTGTAATTTTTTTCTGCTTCGGACATATAATAATATATTCGAACTTTATGGTATTCATGCAGAAAATATGACCTATGGAGTATAACGTTTATAGATTACGATGCACATTTCATTATAACAACAGACTTAAATTTCTAAGTCAGGTATAATTTACATACTTTTTACTTAGATCATCTAATCTTTATTGAAACTCGATCATGTCTCTCTCTCTCTCTCAAAACGAAATATCTCCACATAGAAAACAAATGTTTAATGATGTTAGACCTCTCATTCGACAGATCAGTATTCAATATCAGAGTAGATAGTAACCGTCGAAAAATAATTTAAATCTTTGATTAATTTTAACCACTTTTTGTTAAAATTTTCACTATCACATCGATGAAGAACAGATCTATGCTGAGACCGTCTCAAACAACGAATGCGTTCTCGCTAGTGTGATAACAGATTGAAGGGCTCAATTAAAAAGCTTGGTAGTGCACATAATTCTACACAATTTTCTTTGTTTGTTTCTCTATTCGATCCTAAAATTTCAATTAATATTGTTCACAATATGAAACATTGTTTTTTTTAAATGAACTTTTTGATACAACTAACAAATTTGAAATAATATTCTCTAGATAATTGTCACACAATCACTATAACTATATAATCCTACTAAAAATTGCCATGGAAAAGATGTTTGTTTTAAATCAACACGTAGAATATGTCTTTTGTCTGTTCGTTCATTGTATAATTCAATTTGTTTTTGATTACAATCAAGTACAAGTTGTAGAGTATCACCCATTTGAAATTGTTTATTAATGGATGGATCTTCTAGTTGATTATGACAACCATGCTCCCATATATTATTATCTCCACACCAACCAATCGTTGCTGGATCACTCCATAATCTTTGATCTAAATCTGCATTTGTTGTTGTGATACCAAAAAATAGTTGTTTAGAAGATCTAGCTCTTTCAATTTTAAATCGAATCATTGATCGACCTCGAGAATATTTTTGTTGACCACGAATTCTTCCATATACTTCATTGTCACCAACATGTGTACTATGCATCGCAGTTCGATCAAGTTGAACAGGACCAAATATTAGTCCAAATTTATCATCGACATGATTTGATAATTGTTCATTGGAGTTTTTGTCTACAATATTCTTTGCTTCGATTTGTATCAAATAAATAGGTGAGTGTTTATTATCTTTAACTAAATTATATGAAGATGACGAGTCTACTATATCAGTTTTTAATTCATTCAATTTGTTCTGCCATTGTTCTAAATCCATTTCTGAAAAATTATCAGCCTTACGAGCAGAACGAAGATTTGTAGCAATATCATGACACATTTTTGATTGATGTTGTTTTGAATGATTGATTATTTGTTGAAAATCATTACGAACTTTTTCAGCTGTTTTTTGAATTTTTACAATTGATGATTTTTCCCAATCATTTATTTTTTGTAAAAGAATATGATTAGAAGATGATTGTGAAAGTTGTTGTTGAATTAAATCATGTTCTTGTACAATTATTTCAAGTTGATTGTTGAGTTCTTCTCGATGTTGACTTACATGTCGAGTACAAAACATATTTTGACATCCATCACAAATAAATAAACCATTCGTATTTGCATAATCATCACATTTAACACAACGTTTTTTAGTATTTTTGTTAGTTGTCATCGTTTTGAAATTTGAGAGAAATCAAAACAAAAACAAAAACACGTGTGTTGGAAAGAATAGCGTTTCGCTGTTGAAGATATGTTTTTTTTTGTTTTCTCTTGTTTTTATGAGAAAAGAACGAATAATAATATAATTGTTGCTATTCGAAAGAACGAAGAAAAGGTTAAATTGAGAGGTAATCTATGTTACACGAAAATTTTCATGTTCGGACTAATGTAGCTTTATATGAAGTGTAATACTCTCGTCATCAATCAATGAATGATATATATGTAGATCTTTGAAATACTTTCAAGATATCTAAGTGGTCAACGTTCGATTACTTTTCAATATGCACTCAACTAGTCTATCACGAAGACATTATATGTAATGAAAACTATCAAAAAATCGACAAGAGAAATGATAATTTTCTTCACAGAACTAAAATTGGCACGTTGAATCCACCTAAAACATAGACATAAAATGAAAATATCTTCTCTAATCTAGATCCAATTTAGAACTTTCTCCTTATGTTTTATTTGTTATAATGAGTTCCTCTCCACTCAGAATGCAAGATATATTGTACATAAAATCTTCTTGACTACCAAGACTTTGTTTTTGGTCTTAGATATCATCCAAAATTTTAATATGACACCACTATCGCATGTTCGATAGTGCTACAATTTTGAGGTTTTTCTGGAAGTTGAGTAAGGTTAATCCAATGAAATATAAAAAACGTTTCAACATAAGAATTATTATTAACTGTCGCTTTTCGGGATATGGGAAGGACTACATACAACACTTGAACAATTCTATAATGGATATTCCAACTTTGACTGTGACATATATTTCGATGAGTTATAGGAAAATGGTAATTTATAATAAATTGTTTCGCATTTATTGTTAAGATGTATTTCAGTGTGCACTTTCTGCGATAGATATACACAATAATCTACGATCCGATCTGTTTTTATTATTTTATTAACTAATGATATTTAATAGAATTTCAGTACAATTGTAATTATTATCAGTTATTTAGAATTGAATACGAGGTTAAAAAAAAAGGAAGGAAATATATTATTAGAATTTTCGTCGCTCCCACAACTCTTCCAAATCTTTCACTGAAATAACACTTGCTCGATGAGCTAAAATAGGTGGTTGTTCAATATAAAGTTCGTTCAGATTTTTTGTTTCAATTAACATCATTTTCAATTCAGTCTGTTGTAAATGTGTTAGAAAACGTTTTCGTCGATAAATTAATATTGGATTATTCAATAAAAATACAGCCACATACCATTTATGTCTTGCTTTCGATAATCGTTTTTTATTTGTTGCATAAAGATGATCACGAAGAAGATGACTAACAAAATAAAGTAGAACAGGATGTCGATGAGTACATTCAACAAAAATAAATCCACAATATGCACTAAAACCTGCATCAATAGTTTCCAATTTTCGACCTAATGGTGAATAATCCAAACGACACATGTATAAAATTTCACTAGCAATACTTCTTAATATACGCATTATAGCAGCAACAAAACCCAAAAAAGCATCAAGAAAAAAATTAAAATATAGAAATATCATTAATGCTCGACGATTATTAATTGATAAAACTTCACCAGCACGTTGTAAAAATACATATTGACCCAAAATTTTATTTAAATACATTTTAAAAAACACAAGAAGTAAAGTAGGAATAATAATTTTCAAAATAGTCTCAAGAGTTTTCACATTTCCATAGATTATAAATGCATCAATTGAAATTAATATAATGAAAAGAAAAATTGCTAGAAATATATAACCTACTATAACATAACCAATTAAATAACCAGCAAAATGAAATGTTCCAGTAATATAATTAATATTTTCTGAAGATATACGTCGTGGAATTTCACAATCATCACCACGATATGCTTGTAAAAGATTTCGACGAATACCAGCAAGCATAATTAATAATTGTATAAAAGTTATAAATAATGCAGCAATAAAAGCAATCAAATATGTTCGAACAAAATCAGGTAAAGGAAAATCAGACGATGGATTTTCATTTAGCTGTAAGTTAGGATCTGGTGTATTTATTAATTTTGAAAATAGATTAGCTAGTTCTTGACTATTTCTACGAATTGTGCCGAGTAATGGAGGGCCTTGTACACAAAACTATTCATGATAAAAGAAAAAATATAAGTTTATATTCATGAAGAAACATTTTCAACTGATCAATCACTTTTGAATGAATTTTCTTGAGTTTTAGCCTCTAGCTTGAATCAACAAATCAAATGATTATATTTCAATCTAAGACCTAATGTACAGGCAGATCGATGTGTTAGTCGAATGTTTCCATCACGATATATTGAAATGTGTATAGCTCTGAATAGAATGTCTAAGAAAACTTATCCTTTTGAAATTCCTTTAAGTTTCATTAGGATCTATCTAATACACAAGCGTCTGAATTCAAAATCGATTGATCAATTAAAAATATTTCCTCGTTAATCAAATATTTTACCTGAATAGTAAGAAAGTAAAGTAGTAGTAAAACTGATGTATAAACAGAAACAACACGAGATGAAAAACGAAAATCATCTCGCCATGTATAAATAAATTGAAAAATTTGAGAAAAATGATTTGTTGAAATTTTTGTATTACTCATTCCAAATAACTTTTTAACATATTGTGCTTCAACTGAATATGGTAATGATGAATATAAAAGTGTTTTTTGCTCACGTGTTAATTGTCTATCTCTTATATGTCTATGTCGAATTCGTTTAAAAAGTAATATTGGTAATTTAATACTAATATAAGCTAAACATAAATAACGAGGAATATCCGCTAATAGTTGAAACAATAGTAAATTCGATTCTGTACCATAATATTGTAAATATATCATTATTTTACTTACATTTGTTTTATTATAATCATCATTCGATGGATAATAATCATTATGACATAGACCATTATAAACAATAGTAATACTAAAATCGAACCATACATATATAGTAGCACAAAGTAAAGTGAACCATGTATCAATATAGACAGCTGCTAAAGTTGGATAACATCGAAAACCAATAACAAGAACTCTTAGAATTTGAAGAAGATAAATTATTGCGACACCTATTAAAATAGAAAGAAAATGTTATGATTTATTGAAAGACAAAATTTGTAATAAAACATTCAATAAGAACTATAAATTAAATAGTCTAAAATATGATTTGAATAACAAACCTTTATTTGACGATGGATTGCCACCATTCAATACATCATTTGCAATATCTAATAATTCATCAGCAAAAATAGCAAATATTACTGCTGCCAATGTTCGTTTAACATGAGCGAAAAAATCTAATGGTATTGGAATACCAATATAACCTTTACAATATTTACTTCCTTGAAATGAAACACTCTTTGTTATTATAGCGAAAAGTAAAATAATGAAACAAGAAAGAGGAAAAGTGAAGATATTAAATTCAGAACTCAAATCAATGATTCGACAAATTGAATGTCGTTTGAAAAAAACTGGTTGTTTATTCTTAAATTTATAAATAATTTCTTCATGAATTGGTTTTAAAATAGCCCATTTTATAATAAGTGTAGATATAGCAAGTAAAATAGTAGCAATTAGAGTAATCCATGATAAAATTCGACGAGAAGAAGCAAGATTAATAGTCAAAATAGAAGGAAATTTTCGATTAATGATCGGAATATTTTGTCTACATGAATGAATAATAATAAAATAAAATAAAATAAAATTTCTAGAAATTACACTTGCTTCGATTCATTTTTTTGTAATTTGCGTCTTTTACTAATGGAACGGATGGATGTTATGCCATGAAAAAGTACAATCAAGAAACTAAGCAAGATGCCCAAAGCAATAATTTGCCAGCCACCATTTGACACTGAAACATAAGATATAGTTAAGTTTTAATAATGATCATTATAAATTTAAGAAGCATTATCACCTATCTAAAAACATAATGCATGTAGCTATTTTTGAAATGACATAAGAATGTGCAAGAGATTAGTATACAGTGGTATTGAATATAACAAAAAGAAGATTCAATGATATAAAAACGTACTATCATTGCAAAAGTGAGCTTTTAATCACTCAAATCGATTCTTTGTGGACATGTTGAAAACAATATTCTAGGACTATTTGACTTATAGAAAAGAAAAATTTTTTCTCATTCGATTTCAACAAGACTGATGTTACTAATAATTCTTTCTATTCACAAGTGGTAAGGATTTTCCTTGCATAATCAATTTGAGCTAATTCAGATTGGATCGTAATGAAAAAAAACAATCACTTTTCCACTGAAAACTATTACCATTCGATCAGTCACGATGTATAACTGAAATGATCGAATTTTCAGCTAAGGTTTCAACCATAGATAGAGCTTACAATCAATAGGAAGATCCCAGAGTTTGAGCCAGAACAAATATATCCTTGCTAAGAGATTTACACTTTAATAAAACCCCTGTTTTTGGACTGTATTTTAAATACATAGTGTTTCTATGATAAGTTGATATCTCAATTTGAATATATTTGTTCCAGCTTAAAACTTAAGAGTTTTTATAGTAACTATAAAGCCTATCTGTAGTCCAAATATCAGTTGAAAACTCGATCACCCAAGCTACTCATCATGACCGATCGAATCAGAGGTGGAACGGGTCCGGACAGGACCGAATTTTTGCCAGTTTATCATCACAAAATTGGTTTTTGCATCCAAGAATTTTCTCTACTGAAAACGGTTTTTATGATATTTTCAATTCAGAAGAATGAGTTTGCAAAAGACTCAATAGATATCTTGTCTTCTATTTGACTATAAACGATTGATTGTTCTCTTTATATCTCTATCGATTTCGTTCTCGTGTATCGCTCAGTTGATCAAATAATTTATTCTCTTGTTCTATTCAGGCAGCTGCCTGAATCAAGAAAAATAAATATTTATATTTTTGTGTTAGATTTTTGTTCTAAACTTGTTTTTTTTTTCATTTTTGAAATTAAGATGAAAAACAGATTTGATCTGAATAACTAATTTATATCGATGTCGGGCTCGAAAAGTCGACGCACCTTGCTATAAAATATGAAAGGAGAGTTTCAGTCCCAAGTTTTAGTTTCCAGTTCGGATTAGGGATGGCGATTTGCTGTTAATTTATTATAATTTTAAGTTGGATCTACATAAATTTAAATTTTGTAAAATTTTAAATTCAAAATAAATAAAACTTTTTAAAATTTATTTTTGAGTTTATAAATTTTCCGTACATGTAAATTGATCAATTCCTAGTTCGGATTTTTGCATGTGAATATTCAATTCCTCTTCGTCAACATTTTATGTGAACAAATACTTTTATGATCGTTTATTTTCACCGGATTTTTGCCAGTTTGGCTGTAAAATTCGTCCGGCCGGTTGCTGGCCGGACCGGACAGAAAAAACCTGTCTGGTTCCACCTCTGGATCGAATAGTAATGGTTTCAAGCGAAAAATAATTGAACAGTTGGGAACGTTTTCTCGTTAGTCTCATTTGAGTAATGGTTCTAGAATATTGTTTTCAAAATGTCCAACAACACCTAAGCTAATAAAACAAGTGTTCACCAATGAAATTTCACTAAATATTTATGCTCTTGACTCTTCTCTTTATAATCGTCACATATATTATATTTTTGAACAAAGGATGACTATGTTAACTGTTGTGTTCGAATATATCTCGCGTTTAGTTTTTCAAAAATAAATTACTAAATTCAACTCACTTTGATTGCACACTGTGCCCTTCCACCAAAATTTGCAAACACATGTCCATTCGCCATTCAAATTATTATGACAGTAACCGTTTCGTCCACATGGATTATATACAGAACAATCTTTAAATCATATATAAAAAGTAGCATTCAATATATCGTCTATCATTATAATACTAACTGTGTCTTAAAATCACTGGTACTGTAGTGACATTTACAAAAATCGATTGATTTTGTGTCGTCATAAGTGATATTTTCAAATGCACTATTCTTTTTATGTCATCGAAAAAACACCTATGCGATAATATGATCTGAGAGCTTTTGTTTTACGTGATATTTCAAACTGCTTCTTATATAACACAGTAAAAATATGATGTCGCTTGTGTTTTCTCTTTATACACAAAGCTAGAACGGGAGCGAATTGTTTTTTTTTTATTTTGGTTATGTCAGCATTAAAGACAAAAAAAAATCAAAACAAATATATTTTTCTCATGAGGATTAACATATTTGATCGAATTTTAAAAAAATTTTCTTCAAGTCCAAGCAAATAATAAAGTAAAAATACTGATAATTCAAAACAAATCATATGCTCTGCTTACAAATGCATTCAAAGATATCCCATTTTTTTTGGATATTTAAATAAATATTCTTTTTCCACGTTTGGTATAGCTGCAAAATGTCATCTGAAAATTCGCAATGCAATTATTTGTTGTATGCCAAATTTCTCGGATCGAACTGAAACGTTTTCTTATAGGTATTGGACATTACCTGAAGTAGCTGCTTTCTTTTTGTTTTGAAAATGATTGCATCATTTAGTTTTGATAGATTTTACAAAAAAAGGCATGAATTCTTTGAAAGTACGTTCAATATTTTGATCTTTTTACTTGAGCCGAAAAAGATAAAAAGAATAAGCATCTCAAACAGTGTTTTATTAGGAGTTTATTGACAACTTTGACTCTAATTATTAAGGTCCGGAAAAATATGAAATATGAAATTCAGATATTTGATTTTTTTATAAATCACCGTTTGTAAAGTAATCAAATAGTAGTGATACGTAGTAATGTAGAAAAACGAAGAAAAACGTTTAGTTATTGTTCCAGAGTCTTTTTTTTTAATAAATTCGATGGCTAATCATTTATTACAAAAGAAAAACAACATTTGCATTAGATTAGATTGTATTAAAGTAGTACTGTTCAAGATATTATTCATTTTTTTTTTGCGATTAGAAGAGATTAAGAATGAATGTAATCAATTGGATTATAGTTTTATGTTTATCATGATTTAGATAATCAAATTCACAAAAAGATTTTTATTAATTCTATATAATCAATTCAATATTATCGAAATTTCAATATTAAATTTATCTAAAGAATATAAAATGTTAAAAATAGTATATAAAGAACATTATACTTTAGAAATATGAATTTTCAATATATCTAAAGAATAAATTATTTTCAAAACAATTCTATAGTATTTCCTTTCAAAAAAATCGATAAACTAAATAAAATAGACAATGTCAATAGTCAATTCTCATTGTCTTACTATTTTATCATAACACAATTAATAATGATATAGCAAAAATATGAAAAAAAAAATGTAACTATTATCTTGAAAAGAACAACAAGACTCATAACACAATATCATTTAGTCTTTCTTCTTTTCTTTCTTTCTCGTAACACAAAAAAAAGATAAGATAAATATAACAGTCTCTAGTCAACCTTGTATTCTATAAAATAACCATAGTCAAGTTGAAAATAGCTTTTCTTTGTGCAAATATACTGGTATCTTACATTTCGATTATAACAATGAATAATTATCGAAGATGTCCAAATGAAAAAAATCAATCATCATTGAATAATAAAAAAGAAATTTCTAGCAAACCGAAACCACAAGTGTCCGCATTAGGTAAGTAAAATATATTGATGTAGAAACTAATCATTCAATATAGTTTTGTCTTATAGAACGTAATATGTCTGTTGAAAATAAAAAACTAAAAGAATTAATTGCTTATCAAAATTTTAATTCAGTAATGGATTTATCTAACCAAAATTTAACTGATCAAGATATGGGAATTATTATTCAACATGGTATTGTTGGAAAAAAATGTAAAAGTCTTAATTTATGGGGAAATAGATTTACACATGAAGGTATTTCAATTCTTGTTGGTATATTAGATGGAAATAAAACATTAAAAGAATTGGATCTTTCATATAATCGTATATCGGATAGAGGTGTTCAAATGATATGCACAGTTCTTTCATCAAATACTTGTGTACTTCAAGATATTGATCTTTCATCTAATGGTATTACGGATAAAGGTGCTATCTATTTAGCTAATATGCTTAAAAATAATCATACATTAACAACATTAGTATTAAATCACAATGAAATAACTAATGATGGGTTGAAATCATTAGTTGATGCACTTGCTCACGATAATAGAAAATTGATACAATTAAAACTTGACTTTAATCCATGGATAACAGGACGTGGTGTTGATTATATATTTCAGTCATTAAAAGATAATCAAATTTTAAAAGAAGTTTATGTAAAAAATTGTAGCGTTGAAGATCAAGATTTACCGATGTTACAAGAAAAGGCAATTACATTTGGATTTGATGTTTTTATATAATAAGATATCTTTAATGACTGGACTGATTATTTATTTATTTTTTATTACTTTTTTTTTTTTTTTATTGTGAAGTAAATTAAGAAATCATTCAGGAAAACGAATGATAATGTCTATTTTATTTTCTTCTTCATAAAATTTTCACCTTGATCTTATCTTATTTAGAGTAAACGGTACACCGACAATATAGTAGTATCTTTAATTCACATAAAAATATTTTATTCGGTCACATTAAAACTATTGACTGTTGCATATAATTAACCGAAAAATTTAACACTACCAATTCAGTCTATTTTTTTCCCATTTATATACTTAAGAGAAAGTTTGACTTAAGACGAGACTTTTTCAGTTGCTTTCTTTTAATTTCAAGGATATTTTTTCTCTCTATAAATATATACTAGATAATGTTCTAAT